ACACGTAATCCCTCTCCTCATTATATTGGTTTGAGTTATCATCGACTATCATTACCTTTTTATACATGTCTTTCCTCTCTTTCTTCTATGACCATTCCAAAAACTGTCTGTGAAGCTTTAGCCCATCCTGGTTGGCGTCAGGCCATGTTAGATGAACTAAGTGCTCTTCATAATAGTGGAACTTGGGAATTGGTCTCGTTACCGTCTGGGAAATCTGTTGTTGGTTGCAGGTGGGTGTTTGCTATCAAAGTTGGACCTGATGGTACTATTGATCGCCTCAAAGCTCGTCTTGTGGCCAAAGGTTATACTCAAATTTTTGGGTTGGATTATGGAGATACCTTTTCCCCTGTGGCAAAGATGACTTATGTTCGTTTATTTATCGCCATGACCGCTCTTCAACAATGGCCTCTTTATCAACTAGATGTTAAAAATGCTTTCCTCAATGGTGATTTGCAAGAAGAAATCTATATGGAGCAACCTCCTGAGTTTGTTGCTCAGGGGGAGTCTTCTGGGATGGTATGTCGTCTTCGCAAATCCCTATATGGCCTAAAACAGTCTCCAAGGGCCTGGTTTGGAAAGTTTAGCAAGGTTGTTCAACAATTTGGTATGATTCGGTGTGAAGCAGATCACTCTGTCTTTTATCGACACTCAAGTGCTGGATGTGTTTACTTGATAGTATATGTTGATGACATCGTTCTTACAGGTAGTGACAACCATGGCATCTCTCAGTTGAAACAACATCTCTGTCACCATTTTCAGACCAAAGATCTTGGCAAACTTAGATATTTCTTGGGTATTGAGGTGGCACAGTCCAATGATGGTATTGTTATATCTCAGAGGAAGTATGCCATGGATATTTTAGAGGAAACTGGGTTGATGAATTCAAAGTCTGTTGATACACCCATGGATCCCAATACTAAACTTTTACCAAATCAGGGGGAGCTTATACATGATCCTGAGCAGTATAGAAGATTGGTTGGAAAATTGAATTATCTTATAGTTACTCGTCCTGACATTTCCTTTGCAGTCAGTGTGGTAAGCCAATTTCTTAATTCCCCATGTGAAGATCATTGGAATGCAGTCATTCGTATCTTAAAGTATATTAAAGGATCTCCTGGAAAAGGATTGTTATATGATTCTAATAACCATACAAGAGTTGTTTGCTACTCAGATGCTGATTGGGAAGGATCTCCTTCGGATAGAAGATCTACATCTGGATATTGTGTCTCCATTGGTGGTAACTTGATCTCATGGAAAAGTAAGAAACAAAGTGTTGTGGCAAGATCTAGTGCAGAAGCAGAATATAGAGCTATGGCCTCAGCTGCTTGTGAACTTGTTTGGCTCAAGCAATTGCTTAGAGAGTTACAATTTGGAGATGTCACTCAAATGTCACTTGTGTGTGACAATCAGGCTGCTCTTCATATTAGTTCTAATCCTTTCTTTCATGAGAGGACCAAACACATTGAGATTGACTGTCATTTCATTCGAGAAAAGATTATGTCTGGAGACATCAAGACTGAGTTTGTTAACTCAAGTGATCAGTTAGCAGATATTTTTACTAAATCTTTACGGGGTCCTAGAATTGATTATATTTGTAACAAGCTTGGCACATACGATTTGTATGCTCCAGCTTGAGGGGGAGTGTTAGATATTGTTTAGATATTATTTAATATTGTTAAGATATTGTTAGATATTAACCATAATATCAAACAATATCTTCTGTTTATTCTGTTACTTTCAGTTACTCTTTTAGTTGTATCTCTCTACTATAAATAGACTACCTTATGTGTGATTTATACATAAGGGAGATTAATCCCAAACTCTATTTCTTCTATATTCAACACTCTTAAACGCATAAATCAAAAGAGTAACTCAAGAAAATATTAACACAAACCAAAAACTAAAACTAAAAAAAATAAAACAAAAACAGAAATAAAAATAAAATACTCAATAAGATAAATAAAGATTTCTCAAAGAACATCGTTCCCCGACAACGGCGCCATAAATACTTGTTGAATTATTGGCAAGCGTACCAAAATTATCAATCGCAGTATAGTATTTCGATTAAATAAAAGTCGATCCCACGAGGAACGGTTTCAATGGAAATTCCCAATTTTATGTTTACTAAGTAGATTAAAACAGATTGAGTTTTGCAATAAGAGTTGAATTGAAATTAAATGACAAAGAACTGTAAATTATTGAGAAAATATCAATCAAAGGCACTTAGGATTGGTTTCCTTCCTTATCCTTCTTTTGTAATGGCTATGTCAATTAAGAACGTCAATTAACTTAACAATGTTGATGTCACCTACTCAAATCATCCATGTTGATTCCTCACACATGAAATTCATAAGAAAACCTAATAAATGTTAATTCCTCACACAATTAAGAGATTTTTCAGCATTAGGTTTAGGGTGTTAAGCAATTGATACATTCATTCTATTCCTGGCAATTAACGTAACAAATATTCTTACCGTGATCTAGGGTTCAAGATATATTTTCCAATCATACCCCAAACATAAAAAATAAATCATTCCAAAGCACAAAGGATAAGAATAACAACATCAAAACATAGATTAATATCTCAAAATATCACCATGATACAAAAGAGTTCAAATGAAGTGCACCAAATCCCAAGAGAATGAAGTTAGTCACTCATGTTGGCCATTACAATGCTCCAAATGTGGAAGAAGTGAAGAATTGATGAAGATTGGACGAAACCCTAGCAGTAGTCGCGTCTCTTCTCCTCCAAAACTGCTTCCTTTCTCAAAACACATCTTATCTTTTTATAAGAGAATTTGGGTCGGACCTCGCATCATTCATTCGCTTAAGTGTTCTTTTTTCTTTCAATTTTTCTTCAATTACTTTACAATTATAATCTTTGCTCTTGTATCAAGGTATTCTCGAATTCATCCTATATTGGGAGAAAAATATATTAGAATTAATATAAGTTAAGTGATTTCATAACAATTCAAAGTATAATTATATCAACTTTTTACCACTTAACAGTTTTAGTTGTGATGATGCAATGAAAAGTTAGTTTGGTTCTATATCCTAATATGATTAATGGATGAGACTTTTTGAGTATGCTAAAGTAATATAATGGTAATTTTGAGCTCATAAAGTCTAACACATTTGTAAGGTTGTAAGGACATATATATTTGTGACCAGTGGAAGATTATTGGCAAATATTGGGTCATGTATATATATATGATACATAATTTAAATATGTTAGGGTCATTATTTATTAAACCAAATAATAAAGTGATCTGACTATATTAAAAGGCATATGTCATGAAAATAAAATTGTATAGAGACCATAGAGTAATTTGATGAGGAGTCAAATTAGAAATACTAAAACTTAAGTAATTAACCTAATTTTGGTTATTTAAATGGTCATGGTTCCCTTTTAAGAGCACACACACAAAATGTAAGTTTCAGTTTCTGTTCCTTTCTTTCTATCCCTATCAAGAGAGAAAATCCAGAAGAAAAATAAAGATGTTTTTCAGGTGAAAGACCATAAGATCAATAGTACTCTAAAAGAGACATCATTATTATGGTTAATTCAAGTACGTTTTCACATCAAGCTTACAACATATTTATGAGTATGAGATAATGTTTATGTTTGATTATTAGAATCAAAATCAGGATCATAATGATTAATTTTATAATAGAATTCTCTTCCTTTAAATTTTTGGAGTTATCTTCCTTCTCCTTCCCATGAAAACATGAGAGAGCTTCATATTCAAGTTCCATTGCCAAGAATTTATTATGATAAATTAGGTGTTATCCACCTTGTTGCGAATTGTGTCGTGCTTCTGGCACAAAACATTTTGAATTGTACTTACATTTTGTTATAATCTTGTCAAAAGAATTTATCGTTCATCTACATACTGAATTTGAGGTGGTTGATGTTTTCACTAATGTTTTAAATCCTCAATAATATTTAGATTCAAACTTAAAACCTCATCAACTTCCACCCCAGGATGTAAAGACAACTTGTGAGATAATTACTAAATTATTGTTTTGTTATAATTATATAATCTATAAGTTTTATCTTTTATTATCACAAATATAAATACATCAATCAGAATCACTCGTGATGATTAATTAAAAATCATTCCATTTTTATTTTATTTTTTATAATCACAAATCTTAATATTGAGAATCAGATTTTCTAACGATCTATCAGATAATTCAATATAATAATATGATAGTAAATATATTATATTAAGTTATTTATTAGTTTTTTTTTTTATTCATTCGACTATCAACTTATATTTTGAAAAAAAAAAAAATTGTGTCTAACGTAGAGATGCTATGAATGAGTTAATAATGAACTGTGATCATTTGTGTTTTAATCATAAGGTCTGGATTTGACGGGTGAGGGAGCAAATAAAAATGATATGTACGTCTTCATCTTCTTGGTATAAGTGCATGAGAATATTTAGGAGATTTGAACTGTGATCATTTGTGTTTTAATCTTAAGGTCTGGATTTTACTGGTGAGGGAGCAAATAAAAATGATAAATAAAACAGATTCACAGGATCATAACAAAGAGAGAGAAAAAATGTAAGGAGTTTTATGAATATCTTTCATTTTCTATCTTTTAATTTTTTTTTAATAAATACTTTTAATATTTAATTTAATTTTTATTGTTTAACATTTTAATTTACTTAATTATTTGTATATATTTAGTTAATTGCTAAAGTTTTCACTATTAATTAAAATTACACTCTAAATTAACAAATTAGAGTATAATTTTTAATTAATAATTAAAAATGTGGTAGTTAAGATTATAGACAAATTGAATTTTGTCTCCAATTTCTTTTTTATTTTGTTTTGGAAATTTTGTCACGTTGTGTTTCAACTTGTATTATAATTTATCTTACAAAAATAGGTCCGTCAACTGTAGCTTTGAGAATACATGAGTCTGAGCAAGTGGAGGATCATAGAAAACACCACATTTGCTTCTGACTCGCAACCTCAACTTTTCTCACATGCACATAGATCCTTGTTCCCACAAAGAACATGACGATGGACCAAAGCATGCACGGTCTGGGGTGGCAAAACCTATCTTCCAGCTAAGGAGTCTCGAATATAGACAACCACGTGTCGTATCAATTAAAGAAGCTCCCTTTCTTCCCCTCATCTGTGGTGGGGTCAAATTTATCCACAGCAAAAGGATGCTAATGAATTGTATAGTAGAATATAGGCTTTTAAACATCGATTACATTAATATGATTAGATTAAGAGAATGGATTCAAAGTTAGTTCCTTATAGTAGAATATAGGCTTTTAAACATCGATTACATTAATATTATTAGATTATGAGAATGGATTCAAAGTTAGTTCCTTAAAGTTAGAGTTGATATTTCAATAACTGATCATAATTTATACATAAATTATATTTATATATAAATAAAAATGTATATTCATATAAATATAAATATATAAATATAAATATATTTATATATTAGATGTGAGGGTACACTATTTTTAAAATTTGATGCCAAATTTGTGAGCACTCCTTTTTATATAGATTTATAATTTAATGGCAAAATATAATCTTTATAATTTATTTATATAATGATATAAAATCATTTTTTTCTTTATTTTATATCATTATATAAATTAATTATAAAAATTATATTCTATATCATTATAAATAAATTATAAAGATTATATTCTATTATTAAATTATAAATTCATATAAAGAGACTCACAAATTTAGCATCAAATTTTAAAACTCACTTGACACACACTTTTACCCTCGAATGCACTTTCACATCCAACATATAAATATATAAATATATTTATATTTATATATTTACATATATATACATTTTTATTTATATATAAATATAATTTATTTATAAGTTATTATCAAAAAATCTCAATAGTTTAGTAATTAGAGTATAGTCTTCTAATAAAAATTTTCGTTACAAAATTCAATTATTCATGCTCATGTTGATGTAATCTATGGATCATTAAGACTATAAGAGTAGTTCTATATCTTTATACCAAGTTTTATAAATTTATTTACTCTAGAAATTACCACTCTCATATTAAATTTTAAATTAAAGAAAAAATAAATTTAAGTCCTTTTTTTAATCTTTCTCCTTAGTCCAAAAAAATACAGTAATTAATTCGTCATTTGTTCTTAAATATTAAATAAAATTTAATAAAATAATATTTTCGAAGAAAAAAATATATATAGTTGGAGAATTTTGAATTGTTTATGGAACAAACAACCAAGAATGAAGTCAAGCACAGAAGACACTGGTTCTGTCACGTATCTGTGAAATGGGAAAGGTGGTTGTATAAAAGTCTTACTTGCCTAATACAGTAAATAATTAACAGGTATAAATTTTATTTGAAAACATATTTTTATAACCATTTTATAAAAAAATCACTTCACAACTTATTTATAATAATAATTTTATTCAATAAACTATTTATTTACTACTATATTATTATAAATAAATTTTAATTGATTATTTTTAAAGATTGAGTTGCTAAAAGTATCATTATTTTCTTTTATAGACATATTTTTCATTTAGTACTCATATCCATCACATCTCTTTCTATTCTTCCATCAACGGTTCCATTGTACGCAGTGTCTGATTTTTAAATTTGATTTTTAAATTTTAGTTTTATGGTATAAATAAACAAATGTCCTTATTTTAGTTTGTTATCATTTAAAAGTGAATATAATAAGAGTTATATTATATGTAACTTTTCTACGGTACAGTTTGATCGCTGTTCCACCTTAAAAAGTTTAGGAAAATGATAAATGGATCACCTTTTAAAATATAATAATCATTTAACAATTATATTTTAATATAATAATTTAAATTTTTATGTTTATTATTGTTTTATTATTAGAAAGGTGTTATAAGATAGATGTTTAAGAAGGTTCTCTTGTATATGTAAGACTTTAACCAGATCTTTCATATTTCTTTCTCTTTTTTCTTGTACCTTTCTCTTTCTTGTATAAGGAACATAGGATATGTATAAAACTCAAGCTGTTAGGATTCTCCGCAGCCAGAAAGAGCAAAAAGTGACAATATATAGTGAAGGTAGTTTACTGATACAGAGTAAATAAGTTTAAAGAGAGGTAAAGAAACAAGTTCTAGGAGAGAAGAAAAGGAAGCAAAAGTAAACATTAAATGCATGTATTTGACAAGTAGTGGTTATAGAGGTAGTAGTTAAGAGGTAGTAGTTGTATTGAATGTTTGTAGTTGAAAGGTAGTAGTTGTATTAAATACATGTAGTTAAGAGGTCATATCCAAAGGCCTTTAAATTGACCATGTACCACTCATTGCAAAAATATCAAGTAATAACATATAGAGTGATTTGTTTAGATACTTGTTTATCAACAAATTGACATCAGAGCTTGAGAGCCTGAGTGTTTGAGTGCGTTAGAGAGAGTGTTTGAGAGTTAGATAGTTTGTTCAAGATGACCAACTTAGCTAACAACATGCCCCTGTCAAAGTTATCGAAAGGCGTAAGCTATGATAATTGGAGCTTGCAAATGAAGGCTCTCCGTGGTTCCCAAGAAGTATGGGATGTGGTAAAAAATGGGCATCAAGAACCAGAGAATATTGAAGAGCAGACGATTGCCCAGCTTGCTGCATTGAGAGCAACACGAGTAAATGACAAAAAAACTTTGTACGTGTTGTACCGAGCTGTTGATGAGTCCGGCTTTGAGAAGATAGCAAATGCTAAATCTTCAAAAGAAGCGTGGGATATTCTAGAGAAGGCATATAAAGGGGATAATCGCGTGAAGCAAGTCAGGCTTCAAACTCTTAGAGGCGAGCTTGAAAGCATGAGGATGAAAGAGGTCGAAGGGGTTTCCGAGTACATCTCCCGTGTTGAGACCGTGGTGAATCAACTCGGAAAAAATGGAGAGACACTGCCCACTTGCCGAGTGGTGGAGAAAATCTTAAGGTCGTTAACTGACGATTTTGAGAATATTGTTTGTGCAATAAAAGAGTCCAAGGACTTTTCGGTGCTCTCGGTGGAAGAGTTTGTCGGGTCGCTTGAAGCGCATGAGCAGCGGAGAAAGAAGAAGAAAGAGGAGTCCCTTGATCAAGCACTCCAAACAAAGACAACCTTAAAGGAGAAGAAGGTTCCTTATGCTCAGAACACTCAAGGCCGAGGTGGTAGAGGCAGAGGAGGATATGAAAGAGGTAAGGAGCAAGTCAGTCAACAAAACTGGTGTGGTCGAGGACAAGGTAGAGGTCGTGGTGGTAGAGGCTGAGGTGGTCAGTCAAGCAATTTCGGAGTTGAGTGCTTCAAATGTGGGAAGTACGGTCATTTTACTAAGGACTGTTATTCAAGTATCAAATGTTATAATTGTGAGAAGGTTGGGCATTTCGCGAAGGACTGTCGATTTGAGAGCAAGAAGGAAACAAATCTCCTCTCTGAGGACGCTGAGGAAGAAGGAGTATTGATGATGTCGAGAAGTTCGGATGTCGAGCTAAGTCCGAGCTGTTCTGACAACTCGGTTTGGTATCTTGATACAGGAGCAAGTAACCACATGTGCGGGGACAAGAACCTTTTTAAGGAGCTCACTAAAGTTGAGGTCGGACACGTGTCATTTGGAGATGCATCAAAGGTGGCAGTAAAAGGCAGAGGTACAATCTGGTACTTACAGAAGAATAGTTGAGTTGGAGAAATCAGAGACGTGTACTATGTACCCGATCTCAAAAGCAACATATTGAGCATGGGCCAACTGATGGAGAAAGGCTACTCGGTTCTGATGAAAGACCGAGTACTATACCTGAAGGACAAGTCGGATCGTTTGATTGCCCGAGTAGAAATGAAGAAGAACAGAATGTACAAGCTGAACTTGAAGATAGTCCAAGATAGGTGCTTGAAACTTGACGTGAAGGATGAAGCAATGATGTGGCACTTTCAATTTGGCCACTTGCATTTTTGGCGGGCTGACCGAGTTAGTAAAGAAAGAGATGGTGCGAGGACCCCCGTCTATGGAATTTGAAAAGAAATTCTGTGAAGAGTGTGTGCTCGGGAAGCATTTGAGGACCTCATTTTCGAGGACGGCCGAGTACCGTGCAAAGGAACAACTCGGATTGATTCACACAGATCTTTGTGGCTCGGTTACCCCTGAGTCCTTCAGTGGGAAAAGGTATTTCATTTCTTTTATAGATGATTTTTCAAGAAAAACCTGGGTATATTTTTTGAAGGAGAATCTGAGGTGTTTGAGGTGTTCAAGAGATTTAAAGAAATGGTTGAGAAAGAGACTGGCATGCCTATCAAATCTGTTAGGTCTGATCGAGGAGGTAAGTTCATTTCATCCGAACTCATGAAATATTGCGAGGAGCAAGGGATAAGGAGATTTCTGACAGCACCATACTCACCCCAACAAAACGGAGTTACCAAGAGGAAGAATCAAACCATTCTTGACATGGTTCGAACAATGTTGAGAAGCAAAAACGTGCCAAAGGAGTTCTGGGCAGAAGCAGTGTAGTGTCATCTATGTGCAAAATAGATGTCCACATGCTAAGCTGAACGAGAAGACACCGCAAGAAGTCTGCAGTGGAAGAAAATCGAGTGTGTCTCACCTTAAAGTGTTCGGTAGCATAGTTTATGGTCATGTTCCAGCTCAACAGAGGACCAAGCTCGAAGATAGAAGCAAAAAGTACATGTTTATTGGGTATGATGAAAAAACCAAGGCGTACAGGTTTTTTAACCCAATAACTAAGAAGGTCAGTATGAGCCGAGTGTTCAAATTAATGAAGAAAGCGAGTGGAGTTGGAACAACCCGGAGAAGGAGTCCATAGGAAGTAGAAGCTCAGATGTTGATACACCACATATTGTGAGAGATCATGAGACTTCTAATGAAGAAGATGAACATCTACAGCCCAGAGCGCGAAGTTTACAAGATATATACAACTCCACTGACGAAGTGCATGTTGTATGTCTCTTGGCAGATTCAGAAGACTTAAGTTTTGAAGAGGTCGTGCAGGAGAAAAGGTGGAAAAATGCAATGGACGAGGAGATCGGGGCAGTAGAACGCAACAACACATGGGAGTTGACTGATTTGCCCAAAGGAGCGCGGCCTATCGGCGTAAAGTGGGTGTACAAGAAGAAGACAAATGCTGAAGGAGAAGTTGAGCGATATAAAGCTCGACTCGTAGTGAAGGGGTACAAGTATAAGGAAGGAATAAACTATGACGAAGTATTCGCCCCAGTGACGAGAATGGAAACAATTAGGCTGTTGATTTCCTTAGCAGCTCAACATAGATGAACAATCTTTCAGATGGACGTGAAGTCGGCATTTCTAAATGGAATCTTGGAGGAGGAAGTATATGTTGAACAGCCACTCGGATACATGCGAAGAGAAGAAAGTGTTGAGATTGAAGAAGGCACTTTATGGCTTGAAACAAGCTCCACGAGCATGGAATGAAAGAATTGACACTTACTTCAAAAGGAATGGATATGAGCAATGTCCTTATGAACATGCTCTATACATAAAGAAGAAAGGAGAAGATGTGATGTTTGTTGCCCTATATGTTGATAACCTTATCTTCGTGGGGAATAATGTCGAGCTGATTGAAGAGTTTAAAGAAGTGATGAAGAAGGAGTTTGAGATGACTGACTTGGGTCTTATGAAGTATTTCCTTGGTTTAGAAGTTGTTCAAGGAAAGAATGATATCTTTGTGTCGTAGGAAAGGTATGCTGATGAGATCTTGAAGAAGTTTAAGATGACAAGTTGCAACCCGGTTTCCACCCCTATGGAACCTGGTACAAAATTTTCTAAGTATGCAGATGGTGACCGAGTTTATGCAAGCAAATACCGAAGTTTGATTGGAAGTCTTATGTATCTTACAAATACCATACCAGATTTAATGTTAAGTGTTGGAATAGCAAGTCGATATATGGAGGAGCCAAGGTATACTCATTGGAAGGCACTAAAGAGAATTCTAAGGTATGTGAGAGGGACAGTGTCACTTGGCCTAATGTATACTAGGACGGATGATTATCGACTAGTAGGCTACTCTGATAGTGACTGGTGTGGAGATGTTGATGACCGAAAAAATACGTCTAGATATATATTCTTCATGAGAAACACAACATTCACCTGGCTTTCAAAAAAGCAGTCCATTGTAACGTTGTCAACTTGTGAAGCTGAGTACGTTGCAGCATCCTGGAGTGTCTGTCATGCAGTTTGGCTTAGAAACCTTCTAAGCAAGCTGGAGTTGAAGCAAGAAAAATGGACTGTGATTCGAGTTGATAATAAGTCGGTCATTGAATTAGCAAAGAACCCAGTCAATCATGAGAGAAACAAGCATATTGATGTTCAGTTTCACTTCATCCGAGAACAAGTGAAAGAAGGAAATGTGGAGTTAAAGCACATCGGAACCCGAGCACAAGCTGCAGATATGTTTACAAAGCCACTGTCAACCACTCTATTCGAGAACAGCAAGAAGATGCTTGGAATGAAGGACAAGAAAATAATTTAAGTTTATGGGGGGATTTTGTTAGGTAAACATTAAATGCATGTAGTTGAGAGGTAGTGGTTATAGAGGTAGTAGTTGAGAGGTAGTAGTTGTATTGAATGTATGTAGTTGAAAGATAGTAGTTGTATTAAATGCATGTAGTTGAGATGTCATATCACTACTAGAAAAATGGTAAATAGTGACCGAAATTAGTAACCAAAAAATTCAGTCACTGATAGTAACTGAATCAGTGACTGATTTCCGTTTTATATTTAGTGACTGATTTAGTGACTAAAATTTCAGTCACGAAAATTGGTCATTGATTCGGTCACAAAATCAGTCACTGATTCGGTCACTACTACAAAAATGGTTAATAGTGATTGAAATTAGTGACCGAAAAATTCAGTTACTAATAGTAATTGAATCGATGACTGATTTCTCTTTTT